ATGCAGTCAGTCACCATGCCTAGTCCACGTGTATGAAGAAACTACCATGGATGTACGAGCATGTTACACCGAGGCTTGGATTTTAATTCCAGTGGTAACAGAATATATTAATCACACGGAATTTTTAATTTTGGGTAAATATATTTTCATATAAAAATGCTGAAGTCAAATTCAAGATTGTAGATTTGTATTCATACTGACTGCTCTTATAGACTAAGCAGGATTTTGTTCTCCTTGAGTAAAAAGAGGCAAGCATCAAGCAGGTCCCTTCCCTTCAATACCTAACCAGCTACCAAAACAAGGAGCACGCTGCAGTCTGCTGTGCTCATCTCAGACCAATGTGCGACACAAGCATCAACCCTGTAGGACTGTGCTTTCAGATCTCACCTCCTGTGGGTTCAAGACCTGTGCAAGGCAAGGGCATGAAACACCTGAAACTGCCTCACCTCCATCATGAAACGGCTCCCTGATGCTTCAGCTAGCCAAAACAGGGGGGTGGGAGGGTAAGTCATAATTTAAAAAAAAAATTTAAAAAGTGCAGTACTAGTTTGCCCACCTGCTGTGGTTTTTAAGACCTCAACTTCACCTTAAACTTGTCTCATTTCCTTGAGAGCAGGAAAATGTACAAAGGAAAATTCAGCTTTGAAAAAGGAAAAGGTAAGCAATGTTATATCTTTCTGATAGGTGACCACACATAACCTATTCCATCTGGACAAATCTAGAATGCTAACGTTGTTACTGATATTTAATACTTTTCTCCATCAACATCACACTTACTCAACATCACTTATTTATCCCCTTTCTCATATTTCTCCCAGTTTTTTTCCTGTTTTCTTTCTTTCTGCAGTATCCCTTCTTCATCTCTTTTCTTTCTCTAGTATTACTGCCTTACTTCTCTTCACAGCATCCTACCCCGATACCTTTTCAACCAATCTTGTTTGCAGTAGTCTCTCTATAAAATTCATCGCTCAGACTTTTCCGAGACATCATTAAGACATGCAGCTAACTCCCAAAGACCTGAACTGGAAGAAAGAAAGAAAGCGGAACCCCAGTGGGTTTTGTCTGTGTTTGTTCATTTTCTTCACAACAACAACTCAGAAGCAAACCTTTTCCTCTCACTAATCTTAGATGTCAGCTCCTTGCGTTATAAAACCACTTTTTTGAAAAGAGGTAAATAATTGAACCAGGGAGACAAATAAAAGGAGGAGTAGGAGCAATATTTCCCATTGCAAAACTTCTTTCCACAGCTATTGGAAATAATCTGGTTTATTTTACCAACCTTGTAATGTCAGGTTCACTTAGCACATGCCTTGTTGGCTCCGACTGAGGGGCACACTAACTGCTTGACTGATGCACATAGCCACGGCTGAGGAGCAAATGCACAGCTGCTCGCTGCTTTCCTTTGCCTTCACATGAAAGATTTTTGAGAAATTGTATAATAGTACAGCAGATTGGTCCTTGCCCCAGGTGTAGCAGGTTCTTCCTTTCTCACTGAGTTTGGCAGAGCACATTAATTTCATCATCATCTAGAACAAAAAAATAAGTAAATAGCAAGCATTAAAAAGGAAAAAATGGACAACATTTTATTTTGAGGGGAAAATAAAGGATATGCTAAGGAACTGCTGTGATCAAGAGATTCTGCTCTAGAAACAAAAGCAAATTCTCAAGTGAAAAAGGTGACGGAGATACTGCTGCTTTTATAACTCTCAATAACAGCCAAAATAATCCCAGGCTAGTGGGAAAGAACATGGATTTTCAAAACAAACAAACAAACAAAAACACAGGAACATATCCATACCTTTTCATACCAGTATCATGAACTATGAAGATGATTGAATCACAAATAAAGCCTATAAATTTTTTTTTCCATTCAGCTTAGTTACAGCCAAAGGTAGTTGTAACAGGTCAATACTAACAACATATAATCTTACAGACAAAGGAATCACCACAGCAGTTATAAGAAAATACAAACTAAACATGTAATGACAGAAAATTAAGAAAGTAGAGTGACCTGAATATGGAGAAGCGTCAAAAAGAACTTCCCAGCATATCAGGCTTCATTGTTTACCCTACCAGAAAGGACAGGTTCGTGACATGAATACTGGGCAAGCATTAGGATATGAAGAGCAGCTACAGCCTCCTTGCACCATCAAAGGAGCAGATGAAGCGTTCTAATATAATTGATTTTTCTCCACATGCCAAATTTCTTTGGTTTTGTGTTTCTTTGTCCCATTGGGAAAAAAAGTTACCATGTGGGACAAAGATGCCAAATGCACGTAAAATGTGAGTCAAAAGCATGTTAGAACCCTACCTTTGAATGAAATTATTATATGGATCTATTAAGTCTAATGTAAGGCCTTCCGGTCTGATTTGTAACTCTATTTTCTAGGTGTGCTCACGCCACAATTCACATCCAGCTCTGCCCAAGCACGACCACTGTTACTTTAGTTCAATGCTTCAGATACCTGCTTTTTGTTCAGAGCTCTGCACAAAGCATGGACAATATTCCTCTTTTTTCCCCAAAGGAGGATGTTATGGAGGTAATCAGATCTTTGGTCTGAAAGCAAGCTGCTTGCCTGCTTGTACAGGTAGATATCCATTCTGAAACAACTAGCCCAGAGAGACCTGGCTTGCCAGTCAGTGTCAAAGCATGGCTAGAAGAGGGAACCAAAACAAACAAAAAAACCAAACAAAAAATCCAAAAGCCCATACACAACCAAAAAAACCGACACGACATTCAGGAAGCACAGGCTAAGGGGGATCCCTGCTGGCAAGACGATGAAATACATGTGCACCAGCTCCAAACACATCATTCGCCCGCTGCCACAGTTTCTTCCACACGTGAATGCCAAAACCATTGCACATTTACCTTGCCTTCAATCTGGCACCAGCCGCTTGCTCAGAAGCGGTGCCACCCATGCAGCACAGACTGCACAAAAGCAGCTGTTTGGTGGGGCTAAGGGGGAATTCAGTCTCCATTTCACCATGTTTATCAAGGATAAAAATTCCTGGCATACTCGAATTATCATTCTGCTGAAGCAAGAACAATGGACACGCTCCTACAGCTTCTTCTATTGCAGAAGAGGGGGAGGATGGGACCCAGCCGATTTCCCACTTACTGACATAGGCCATTTTTTCTACCATATGACAGGCATTAGATATCATCCCACTTAGGCAATAATCCTGTCAGGGAAATTAAATATCTCACCTACTTGTTGTAATTGGAAATGCCATGTTTAACAATTCATCAGCCAATAGTGGATACTTGTGTATTGAAAAGGAGGAACAAAATAAAACAACAGCTCTTGATTCAGCTTTTTTGTACATTTCATTAAAAAAACACTGCAAAACTTTAACAACTACAACAAATTTTGAGACACAAATGAGAAATAATTCTTAACAATGGTGGACTATCATAAAGATATTTATGACACACCTGGGAACAAACTAAACTCAGAAAAATGTCACCAAGTGGAGTAGAGAGACATTAACTTCCAGACCATAAAAATGGCTAAGCAAAGAAAACAAGAAAGAGTTAAAATGAATATCCAATGAAGGACAACATATTTTATAGGACATTTACATTATGAAGTGGTTTGATTTTCTTCTTACAAATTACATACTCGAGAGTAACAGACATTTCCAGTGGCTCAGAAAAAAATTTAATTGACATTTAGAATGAAGGAAAGCATACAGTATTTTCTTTAAAAAGAAACTTTATTACAAATCTGTAGGTTTAAGAAAATATTGAAAAACTGTCAAAGTAGTATGAAAAATGCTGTCATCTTATTCAGTTACCAATTTTCTCCAATAAACATAGCATACAAAAATTGATAGAAACCATTCTTTTTGGTGACATAAGTCAGACATTTGTAATTCTAAATCCCCTGCCGACAACTAAGATGCTGCTAGCAGCCCAAAGGAACAGTTAAACTGCACTGGTTTTGAAAACAGAAGTTTGGATGAAAAGGCTATATACATATACACATACTGTATTTTACCACATGTAAAGGTAACTCAGGGCAAACAAAACATGGCCCAGGACAATACTTGAAGTCTATAAAAACCTGGAGAGCCAGGGAATGTGTGTATATGGTATTAAGTTATTCTCTATGCTCTGGTTCCCATTTTCTTTTACATCTCAAACCTAATAAAGACCAATTGTTTTCCATTCTCATTTATAGAAACGGTGAAACCTATGTGTTGCTATACTGTCATTTCAGACACAGAAAACGTTAGCTGCACTGCATGCGGGCACGTGATCTAAAAACGTAATGCAGTTAAAACAATATAATTAAAAGTGGGGATTTTTAGAAGACTGTAGACTGAATTTACTGCAAGTGACTTAACACCTTAAGCTCCCCTGAAAAATGGAGGCTAACACGGCATTTCTAATGTCATTCACAGATAATTCATAAGACACATGAATGAGGAAAGAACCATCTGATACATGTTACGTTCCTAAACTGAAGTATAGACTGCTTTAAAAAGGCAGAAAGTTTGCAACTATGCCATGGATTAAATCCAAACCTGCCCTACAACTCTTAACTCTGGATAACTGGCTGCAGCAGTTGGAAGCTGCAGCATAGACCATTGGCCATAGACCATTGGCAACCATATCCTCAAATCCTTTAAACTGCATAGGACCTAGATGCCACAACTCAGAGCAGCAGTGTAGAAGAAGCTTCAATGTAGAGAAGTGTGAAGATTTTAAAGGAGCAGGATGAAACATTTCTGTTACAATACCTGCTCAAGGTACTGATATGATCTTAAAGGGGGGGGGGGGGGGCAGGGGAACAAACCCCAAACAACTCTGTGTAATTTAATTCTGTTTTTATCAGGTGCTTGAAGGTTCTTAGGCAGATGACATTTGAGATTTCCTACCGATCAATCTTCCTTCTGCCTACAGCAACTTGGAAGAAACCAGCATCATGTTAAAAAAGTACTTCAGTGCATTTTGTTCATTTCGCTGTTTCAACTTAAGTTGAAAAGCACAGAATCAAGAGTTATTCACAGAAAACTACACTGCAGAAGAGCAATTAGAAATCAACAGTCTCTCATTACCAAAGCAAACAGGATGGAAGATGCAGAACTGAATTTACAGTAATTTCCTTCCCCATGCACACCAGATTAACGCTAGGTTAATCAGGGCTACCTGGAATATTTCTTAAAAGCCATGTGTTGGTAAGGAGATTGCCTCATTCTCCTGCATTTACTGAAAACTTGATTTCTGAAACACTGTAATGAAACAGTCAAAAATCTTCATTCCAAAGAAGGAAAATATTTCATGTACATTCTTAGGCATGAACCTTCAGGCTTGGGAAACGTTTCTCTAGATTGTCAGCAAGTGTCTGATCAGCCTCACGCAGAACTTCAAGGAAACTCTCCACCTGGAAATAAATTGCACACACACACACAAAAAGAAAAAAAAAACAACACCAAACTTGCATGGAACACAGAATTCTTATAGTTGGTATAGGGGGTCTTTCTACTTCTGTACCTTCCCACCAACAGCAGCCAGCAGCAGCCACTGCAAAGAATAATGGAAAATGCTCCACAGTAGATACCTTCCTCCTAAACCCTACAATTTCAGTTGGTCTAAATTTTGAAATATCACCTTCCCTAAACTCTTATTTTATTGTTTAAAAGTACACAAAGAAAAGCTCCCTATGAAAAACACTTAGAATAATTATTCTATTAAAATGTACATGACAAATTTTCAGATAGCATAAATTTGCAGACATCCATTCATTTCAGCACAGTTTAACCCTTATATCAGCTGATGATCTAGGCAAAGCTCTGGCTGATGTACGCCAGAAGAGACAGAGAGGGTAAGACTGTCTAGAATGGCTTATTACCTGTGTCTGAGCAATTCTGTCCTACATCTGATTCTGAAAGATCTTGCCACCCAAATATTATTTTTTCAGATATATTGAAGACCTTGTCATATACTCACCGATGTGAAATACAGAGGTAAGAGGTTCTGAAATGCACAGGAACATGTCTGTTCATTTAAATGTCCCTGGTGTAGTCCTTCTAATGTATTTTCCTGGAAAATAAAATGAGAAATACAACTAGCATGTTATGAACAGTTGTCAAAAGAACAAACTCAAAATTGTGCACACAGTGTCTACAGCATGCACTTTTGTTCTCAAAAATGAGTAAAACAACCAGAACATACAGTTCTCAGAGAATGCCTGACGTAGCTAATACAAAAAGGTGTGAAACCTCACATATCACAAGTCTCTTAATCTGAATGTTCCCATAATAAAAAAAGTCCAGTTGAGAAGGTGAGTTTATATATTGACATTTTTTCCTTTTCTTAAATAAATTCGTGTTCAAAAGAAATGGCAACGTACACCTAGAGAATTTATCACACAGAATCTTGGCCCTGAAGGCACACACCTCAGAAAACCTGTGTTCCTGCCATCTAACACACTCGTTGCTACTCACCTTCTGATTCTTTAATGAATTTCCAGTATGCAACTTCACTTGCACAGAAAAATGCCCACATTAATAGTAACGTCTTTTCTCTTACCTAGCCTGCGGAAATCCCTCTTAAAATTTTGTTTATTCTTACCTTGGTCAGTTCTTGAAGCATATTGGAAAGTAATTCACAGCAAATATCCTTCAAAATTTTTAAATGGAAATCTTCCTCGTTTATATCAGCCCTTCCAGTCTCTTCTTGTTCAGACTCCTTTGAGTTACCAACAGATCTCTTCCCACAGCCCTCCATGTATTGTAAGATACGAATCAAGCTCCCAATCAGAGGCATATCTAGTATAAAGTAACAAGAAAATGGAAGTTTAACACTGAAAATTTTTCCCCATCCTTTCAAGGCATTAGATTTTGAAACACACTGCAAGATGTTATACGAAAGCTATAGGAATGTACATTCTGACAGTGTTATGTTTTGTCACTCGAAGACTGTTTTACAGAAGCAAGTGGAAATGTAGTAGAAAACCCAAACCATTTTTTCTGCAAGCTAACCTGCATCTGTAAAAAGCATATACCACTGGTAAGGACTATAAGAAGGAAAATACCTCTGGTAGTAACTCAGAGAGGCTCGTATGTTAAATTTGCTTCCAGATAATCCTATCTGATAAACCAAACTGACACAAAGCCTTTCTGCTGCAGATGACCCTGGCTCACATTCCCAAGACAGGCTTTTAATTCTAAGACAGGCTTTTAATTCTAAGGACTTGTCAATGGATCGAAAAGTAACACATGATAAAGATGGATTTAAGTAAGTGCAGAATCTCCCTCTACTGAAGAAAATACTTCTATCAAGACCTCATATTTTAGCAAAGATGAATTCTGCACTTTTCATTAATTTACCCAATGGAGAAGACTGAACAGAATCTGGAGATTCAATTACTGTAACTCTTCAGAGATATCCAGCAACTGAACTTTGAGCTAGCTGTGATTTTTAGTCACCAGTAAGGAGTCTTACTGTATTCAAATAAGCAACTGAATTCTGTGTTCTGAATTGATCTCTAGTGAACAGTAATAGATTAACCACCTTTCACCCCACATACATAAAACCAATTGTGAAAATAACTTAAGATCAATGCCCCCCCCCCCCCAAAAAACACAGAAAAAAGTGCGACTTGCTTTTCCTCATCTTGGTGTATTCTTGTTCTGTCTGTGAAGCAAACATAGCAGACAGCACGGATAAAATAGAGGCCAATACAGTCTTCTGCTCCTGCACAATGATCGGTGGATCATCTGGCTGGCAAAGTTCATGGCAAACGAGGTCATAAAGCAAACTCCAAGTCTCCTTTCCTCCATCAGGAGCCTGCACTTGAGAAAGAAACAGAACCCACCAACCCAAAAAATTTAATCTAGGCCCATGAATTATTTTTCTCCCCATTAAATATCTGATGACCTAGAAGTTACTGCCATTCTTGGTCCCATCATATGTAGCCATTCAAGTGTCTTACCAATAGCCTGAATACCCACATCCACCGTGGTCAGAAGCTGCAAAATATGCATATAAACATCAAGTCCTTCCGGATTATCTGATCTACACAGAACAAACAAAAAACAAAGACAAGTTAAAGATCTGATTACTGAGTTTATATTACGTGTGTTTTGGACACACAGACGACTATCAGCAATCACTGCCATTCTCTTTGCTAACAAATTAGTTGACTCATTTCAAATGGTAAGTACAGGAAAATGTATTCTAGTGATCTGTCAAACTATGCAGCTCCCACTGAAATCAAGACGTTCAGACACAGGCCTTAGCAAGGTTATTAAGGAGTCTCCCCAGCCATGAAACTGAAGAAAACTCACATACCGGACTTGCTTGGCTGCTTCAAGTATACAAGGCACAATCTTAAAATCCGGAAGTTCTTCAGGGGAATCATCTACAGATGGTCCCACAGATCGACAAGTGCCATTTTTAATCCAGTTTAACATTAGCTCTTCGTCTAGATCAAAGAGTTTGTCGACCACTTCACCCACTTTTACCAGCAACTCAACTGCATAAGAGAGAGAACATATAAATTTCAGCAAGACTAAAAATGAAGAGCAAACATTAGCTCACAAAATTCTAATATATAAAAGTATTCAGTGCTGAAATATATTAGTTTCGTACACAACCTACTAAGGGTTGCTGTGTTTAATTCCTTTTTGTGGCACAGATCAGGTTAAGAGCTTGATAAATAGGGACTATTGGAAAGCCCACTGACACCCTTCTACCTTATCATGCCATTTATGAAGCAGGAACTTTACTCCGCAAAGAGACTTCACATTTCTGAAAAGTCGTAATTTCTGCTTCTGAATTAAAACTTTCCAAGATTTGTCCCTACATATGCATTTTTCTTCTGCTAACCTTACACCTGCCAACCTGCATTTTACTTAAGTAGATCTGCGATTTCAATTGGATGGAGCAGGATTTCTGAGCATTGCCATTAAAAAAGACAACCACCAACCAAATTGAAAAAGCTAACTTATTAGGCTTCCTAGACAAGTGATAACTGCTGTTACAAATAAGGTGGATGTAAAACATAAATGCTATTCAAACATTTCCATTATTAGGTGCTTAGTGCAGTTTTTGCTAAACTAGTGCTAAGAGAGACTTGTGTACCACTGACTGAATATCCAAATCTGTGCAGTATTCAGCTGCCATTCAGAGTAACTGAATCGTTCTTCCAGTTGAAAATGGGAAATACATATCTGATTTGAAAAAAAATTGAAATTAGGTCTTGTTTCAAGGATCAAAAATTACATATATATCTCACTGAAAAAGGACTATGTCTTTTCCTTTACCGCACCAAATAACAATTTCTTCTATTACACTTGTTTTGATTTCCCCACAGAGCTTTCTTCTTCCTCTGGGTGTTTTTCTGGTTGGTTTTATATATATTTATAAACCTGCAAAGGCAGGACAAGTTTATTTTGATATCCTTTATATTCATGAAGTTTACCCTATTTTAAAGAAATTCTGTACTCCCAATTGAAAATATTTGTCTTTGAAATTGCATACTTCAGTTCTTTTTTTTTTTTCCCCGCAAATACCCAGTAAATCCCAGTTTGTTTTGGCAACTTACCATTTGTAGAGCTGGACATGATAAAGCAAACACAGTCATACACAGAAGGGTTTTCTCGGATTCTTTCAACCCAGACATTGGCCACCTCAGGCTGGGAGAGGCAAGTTAACAACAACCTAGACAAGAATTGCCCATGTAACAAATTAGAAGCCAATGCATTTATTTTAGCTGTACAAGTGTAAATCCAAATTAATGAGAGTGATGCAACAGAAAGAGGAATCTAGCTCACAGCAAATCAATTCCAGAACAATGTGGAAATGATAAAAGGATAGGATGAGAGGCTAATAAAATAGCAAGCCCACTTGTCAATTTTCTTCCCAGGCCTCAGAACATAGCAGAACTACAAGAATGATGCATTAGTTTCTGAGATGTCCTACCTGCTTGTTTCCAGAAGAGTTGGGGAGTCTGAATCACACAAACGTTGCAGTAACACTTGGCTTTAAGGAGAAAATGCAAGATAAAAGTTAATAGAATCTATCTTTGTTTTAAAAAAAGTTATCAAAAGGTTAATTTTATAGCTGCAGCCATGTTCTGAGACTAAAATCAGCTTTTCCTGATGGTGCATGCCTCTCCAGTGTTTCAAGATTGTCAAACTTAGAACTAAAAGATTCAAGAACTTGACTGGTGATTAAAAACAAACAAAAAAAAATGGTGGTCTCTATCTTTTTTTTCCTTCACTGCACAATTCCTACAACTACGGTCAGCCAAAAAGGTGTAAATGAAGATGAGGCGTGGCAGGCAATTTTAGTTCCTTCTATAACATATATTTCATGATTGCGAGTCCAGAAAAGCAGTACTCATGTATGTATAAAGCACATACACACTTACCCAAGATTCTCATCTTTACTAATGGACATGCATATGTCTTGGAAACAGGCCATGTTTCCTAATATTCCCACACAGATTTCCTGAAAAGTCAAAACACAGTATAATGAGGCAACTGCAACATAGTTCACAAATTTATTTCTACAGCCGTAAGATAAAAGTAAGAAAGGTTCAAAGACATTTTCCAGTTTGGTTTCCAAGTTCTTATGATGCACCATTTCAAGATAGAGATACAGATTTTTCTACAGGACACTATTAGACTAGCCTAAAATATACTCATGACAGGTACTATATCAGATATTTACATGTTGAAGTGTTCCATAAAAGCAAATATATCTTGAAATCAACTTTGCTTGCATATTCTATGTATACTGTTTTGAAGCTAATCTGGCATCCTTATTATTAAAGCAATAAAGAGTCCTAGTAACAAAAATATCACCACATAAGTACAACCCTCACGGATATTCACTTCCTCCAAAAAGAAAGGAGTCTTAATACAAGCTTTCAGCATTTTCTGATTGCAGAAATCTAAAAAAAAAAACAAACACCCAACCCAAAACTAAAAGCAGTGTATCCCATTGGGATATTCATGCCTAGACAATCATTAAAAGGATGCACACTTCTATAAATGGGACCGCTGAGAGCTCTGCGGGTGACTGGTGTTAACACTGAATGTCCTGAGAATCACTCATTTTCAGCAATTTAAAGTTGGAAATCAACTGTTGCCACTCAAGGTTATCTTCTTAATAATTAACACGCTACCACCTCCGCTAAATTACAGCAGATGCTATTTCAAGAAAGTAGCTGTTACGGCAAATTTGCTCTCACTTCCAAGTTTTGGTTATACTTTCAAAAGACAAAGTACTGAACTTTCAAAGCCTTATGTGTCTCTACTCATGTCCTGAAGTAAAACATCTGGTAACTTCAGAGAAAGGGGAGTTATACCAACAATGAATATCTTTGAAAACCCCATCTTGAATCTTATAGTGCATTGTGTAATACAAGCTGCAAAACAATTACATCAAAATAAAGGGAGAAGGGAAAAAAAAAGCATTAAGTATTGGTGTCTAACAGTTCCTAAGCACTAAGATTACTTTTTGTATAGGGTTTGCATGGCAAGGTTTTGGCAGTTGGGAGGGCTGCAGGGGTGGCTTCTGTGAGAAGATGCCAGAAGTGTCCCCCATGTCCAACAGAGCCAATGCCAGCCAGATCCAAGACAGACCCGTCACTGGCCAAGGCCGAGCCCATTAGCAACAGTGGTAGCACCTCTGGGTCATAGTTAAGGGGGGAAAAAAGGGCACAGAAATTGCAGCCAGAGGGAGGAATGAGAATATGTGAGAGAAACAACTCTGCAGGCACCAAAGTCAGTGACGAAGGAGGGGGAGGAGTGCTCCAGGCACCGGATTAGAAATTCCCCTGCAGCCCATGGAGCTCCACAGTGGAGCAGATATCCACCTGCAGCCCGTGAAGGACCCCACCCCAGAGCAGGTGGATGCCCAAAGGAGGCTGTGACCCCACGGGAAACCCGCACTGGAGCAAGCTCTTGGCAGGACTTGTGGCCTCGTGGAGAGAGGAGCCCAGGCTGGAGAAGGTTTGTTGAAGAACTGCAGCCTGTGGGAAGGTCTCATGTCGGAGAAGTTTGAAGAACTGTCTCCCGTGGGAGGGACCCCACCCTGAAGCAAGGGAAGAGTGTAAGGAGTCCTCCCTCAAAGGAGGAAGGAGCGGCAGAGACAAGGTGTGATGAACTGACCACAACCCCCATTCCCCATCACCCTGCACTGCTGTGAGGGAGGAGGTAGAGAAAATTGGGAGGGAAGTTGAGCCCAGGAAGAAGGGAGGGATGAGGAGAAGGTGGTTTAAGACTAATTTATTTCTCACTACCCTTCTCTGATTTGATTGATAATAAATTAAACTAATTTCCCCAAGTTGAGTCTATTTTGCCCGTGACAGTAACTGCTGAGTAATCTCCCTGTCCTCATCTTAACTCACAAGCCTTTTGTCATAATTTTCTCCCCCTGTTCTGCTGAGGAGTGGAGTGATAGAGCACTTTGGTGTGCACCTGGCATCGAGCCAGGGTCAACCCACCACGCTTTTGTAGGTCTGACTAAACAGATCCATGACCATTTCTGTTCAGTAATCATGAAACAAGTAATGAGAAAAAAAGGCCAGTCTTTAGTGGTTTTTGTAACAAGCTTTATAACTAGGTTTGACGAGATTAGTCCTTCATCAGTAATAACATATATCAGCTTCAGCATCACTGAAATACTTATTGATTAGACCGTATTAAAAACACTGCAAAAAAAAAATGTGAAAATTTGATTTTGTGTTTTCTTCTTGTTCCCCTAATGTATTCAAACATGCAATGGGAGGAGGAAGGACATATGTTGCAAATGCATGTACAGAGCTATTTACTATGGTTATTAGTATGGGACAACTTTTTGACAGCCCATACTTACAGTAAGGCGAGGGCATTTTGACTTGGCAAAAACTCCCATGAATATATCAGGAGCATTGAATTCCTGAAGAAATAAAGCGACATCCTGTGGAGAAAGTGAACGGAGAAGTAAATGGACATTTATAACTTCCAAACACAAAATCAAACCTTTTCTCACAGCACAACTGGATCAGAGAGATGTCAAACTCACTACAAGAGATCAGTTATTTCCCAACAAGTAATATCAATAATCCTTGCTTTTTAATGAGAGAAGATCAGCAAGTCCCTATGGTGATTCAGAACGTCAGTGATTCACTATACAATGAGCCAAAAAGTCACATTTAGTTTCTTTTGCTCTCTGTCTCAACAGGGGGTCAGAGAAGCTAAGTCAGAATTCCACAAATACCATGTTTTCAGACATCACCCAGACATACAAAAAGAAACAAGGGAAGGGATTATCATTAGCACTTGATCAGACTGTACAAAAGAGGAAATCTCACCTTCATTTGGGAGCTAAGGACACATCTTCCATGTTTATTTAAAATATCTCAACAAAGAGCCAGGGAATAAAATAATTTAAAAAATATATGTATCTCTTACTTAAGAATTTGTTCCAGCATTTGAGAACGTTGAGAAAAACACCAAAAAGTTACACTACATCGCCATTGTGAGTCTGTAGCTAAACTTTAAAAGGTTGTTTATCCATCAGACAAAATTATGCCTACCAGCAGGATGCACTACAATTGCTAGAGTAAAATATGTCTATTTAGAGACTGCATCAGTATTATCTCCATAATCAACTGCTCAAGATACAGACTATGCACATGAGTTAATTTCAGCTACAGCGAGGGTGCTGTCTTCTAGTAACCCTGAGCTTTGATTCAACTCCTGCACATAATATAGAAAACCAACAGGTGGGAATGCAGCCCCATTTATGCCAGCAGATCCTAAGCAACAGCACCACACGATCTGTTAGACACCTGGAGGGAAGGTCAGGAAGACCACGACGTTTCTTTTACATTCACACACATTTCTGCTTAACATCCTCGAACAGCAGCAGGGGGCCCTAGCAGCTACGACACAACAGAAGGCCTGCTTTTGCAAACTAGTGCTGGGCTTAAGAGTGCACACAACATACTTGCTCATCTTGAAAAGCAGCCTTCATGATGGGCCTGCTTGATGCCAATCCACCACACCCGCCCTGCCTAATGACTCACAGCACACTGTCCGCCAAACAGAGAAGAATCAATACCATCAAAATCAGAAAGCTGACCAACCCCGTATAATTCTGTGCTTTCTCCTACTTCCAGAAGGATTCCGACACAGGGCAGAAGCCGCCTGTAGCTGTGAACCACCCTCAAAAAGTTTAACTCCCGCACATCACTCCTACCTCATCCATCGACATGTCCCACACTTTGCAAATGTCATTCTCCATCTCTTCATCCAGCTCCGTCTGGATTTCTTCGGGGCTCACGGTGGTCTCCGCCTTCTCGGGGCTAATGACCTGACAGAACATGGAAGCGGGGCGTAGCACACGCGGGGGGTACGGCGGTACGCGAGCTACGACCGAGAAACGCCATGAAACACTAACAACGACCTATCACTTCAGTCAGTTTAAAAAACAG